CATTTCATACTAAAAGCTTTTTGAAGCCAAATGGCCCCATATCTTTATATAATTCTTAACATAGTTGCAGTATATACAGTTCTGTTTTGCTTAGGGTGCCTCAGTCACCAGGGTTCTTTTAAATTTAATGCCCGTTTTTTAAACCTTGTTTCAACATCTGTGAAGTTTATAAGTTTTTACTAATGTATTTAAAATATGTTTATATTGCTTCTTGAGGAAAGCCTTCTCCATGAGAGAATTTACAAAATAGGAAGCATGAAACAAGAGAAATATGAATATGATGTATTAAACTAGGAAAAAAGTGGCGATCGTATGGTCTTGGAACCTGCCCTAGATAGCAGAAGGAGAGGTTGCCTCACTCCGAGAAATTCCATGACACTGTATGGTGGCCCAAACTTGGAGTTGGAGATCTGGTGTTGGATCCCTTCCTGCATACTCCCAAACCAAGCAATTAACCCCGCCCCCTCATCAAAATACAAATCTTGAGCAGGAGCAAAATTAGTTGCATTCTATGATGAGTGAGGGAGAGAATATGGATCTCTCTCATCAGCACCCAATAATGCCCTTGTAAGGAGTAACATTCCTAATAAGGAATAACATTCCTTATAACTCTCTTGTGTGTGAGTTTTCCCCATAAAAAGGAAGGCATACACAGTGAGATGTGGGGGAAATGAGTGGAAAATTGGTTTGGTTTGGGTTCCATCCGGCCAGCAAGACACCAGCAGAGCTTTAGATGCTCCTCTGCCCCTTAAGACTGCTGCCTAACACTTTCCTTTCAATGCAGAATAAACACATTAGCAACAGTTAAAACCACAGCCTGCAATATTCAGTTCAAAGTGGATGGAAGCATCCAGGCCTCGTTGACCCATGACAGCCACCTAGTGGAATGTAAAAAACTTTTCCGTTAGCTAACACCAATCCTTGCTGTCCTTCCCTCAAATGTTTCTTTCCATTCAGAAAGTTGTTTCCCGCTAATGCTTTCTAAGTCCCGCTGTTAAATAACACAAGCATGAATGGATTAGACCAGCCACTTACATATTAGCCAAAAACAGCATGGATACCTTTAAAAGGGGAACAAAAGAGAACACTGATATGCATGACTGCAAATGGTAATTTCTCCATAGGGAGGTAAAACCAGAAATGACCTGAATGGTAATGACCAGAAAGACAATTCATATCATGCAAATGAGGAAGAGTATGGCCAGGTAATTTTTCTGCCTGCTCAGTCTGCTGTCCAGGAGCTACTCGCTTAATCTGAATCTTTCACCATGGGACTGGATAACTCTGAAAATAGATGACACATTCGAAAAGAGATCTGTTTTCTGGCAGTGTTTCAAACAGACTGTATGGATAGCTCAGTGGTTTCTGGCTGTGCAGATTGGGAGTTTAATTTTCCACTGAACCTTCTGTGAATAGAGCCAGCCTTGGGAAAACAGCGCAGTTCCAGAGTGTCCCTAGAAGATGGGAATGGTAAACCACAGAGCAGTATGCTCTAGCTAGAATACCCTCAAAAGTGTCACCATAATTCAATTGACTTGATAGCACATGGTTATTATTCAAACAAAGAACTATCTTCTACCAAAAATGACACATAGCTATCGTTGGTTGCAATATGATCATCAGTCTTTGGCTATTCTACGTTTTCTCTCTCTCTCTCTCTCTCTCTCTCTCTCTCTCTCACACACACACACACACACACACACACACACACACACACACACACACACACGCGAGAGAGAGAGAGAGAGAGAGAACCAAGTCCTTCAGAATAGGACTCCTTTGTCTGCTTTTCTATAACTTTTCTGATTTCTGAGCAAGTGAATGCCAGTTTAAACATGTTGCCACCTTGTGGTAACTGGGGTTACATAGCTACCTTTGCTGGCTGTGTGCAAAGCTGGAGTGTCCTCTCCAGAGCATGAAGCCTGGGTAAAATAATATGGAGGATAAGCTGTTACCCAAGCAGCAAATCCCCCCTCTCCACGTTGCTGAAATAGTCCATTGGAAAGGCAAGAGCCAATACAACTGGCTCCAGCAATGTCACAGGAGTTGCCAGAGCACCACGAACTGCCTCCAGGACTCTGGCTCGGGATTTTGCCACAAGGTTAACTCCTGAAGCTTTTTTCATCAGTGGATATAGCCACAAGGTAGTGGAGGTTTGAAATCAGAGTTTTCCTTCTCCTAGATGGGCTGCCTTCCAAGGCTAACAAGCCCCACCTACCCGGTACCTTTTGCTAGCAACACCAAATAATTTCATATAAAACAAATAAGGATGGTGAAGATCTGCAGACAAATGCTTGTTAATATGGCCAATGCATTCCAGGGAACACACCAATGAAGTGATTCACAATAGGTCCAAAACTCCTAACTTCCACACAGAGCCTGACAGCTGGTGGCAATTGGCCGGGAAAGAGATTTCAAGATTGTGGTGGACAGCTGGATGAAAAGGACAGTATGCGGGTACTGTGAAAATGACAAGTTTCATTTTTTGGATGAAAAGGACAGTCAGTATGTGGGTACTGTGAAAATGACAAGTTTCATTTTCAGCATCAATAGAGTAGATATATGCTTGAGTTTGCTAAAGCTGTGCATAGCTGTTGAAGACAGGACATTTTGGAGATTCATAGGGTCACCGTAAGACTTGATGGCACATAGAAACAACAACAACAACAACAACAACAACAACAACAACAACAACAACAACAACAACAACAACAACAACAACAACAACAACAACAACAACAACATATAGAGTGGCCCTATAGCTCAGTGGTTTAGGTATCTGGCTGTGGAGGCAGAATTTGTGAGTTTGACAACACAATAAACTTGGGAGTCATCCACTGAAGCTGGATGATGGAACGTTAGGGGCAGATAAAAGAAGTACTTCTTCACACTGCATTGTTAAATAATGATATTCACCACAACAACATAACAATAGCCATATTCTTTTGTTAGCCACAATGTAAACTACAGGCTGCCCTTGGATTGGCTTCAGTCTGAGACCTGTGGCTTTTACATTTTTACTGACTACAAATCGGCATAGCCAGTGGCTGATCATTCAGAACCTTACAACATGTGGAAAAGCAGAATAATGAACTGGGCTGCATTTTGCAATACAGTGGACCCTCGACTTACAGACGGCTCGACTTACAGACTTTTCGAGTTACAGACTTCTCTGGCCACAAAATTTAGGTTCGACTTGCAGCCAGAGAATCGACCTACAGACCAGGAAAAAAAAGGAACAAAAATGGAACAAAAACAACTGGTTACGGGATTAATTGGTGTTCAATGCATTGTAGGTCAATGGAGACTCGACCTACAGACTTTTCGACCTGCAGCCACCATTCCAATATGGATTAATTCCTTAAGTAGAGGGTCCACTGTAATACATTGTTCTGCTCTCGGAAACTGTTTTTCCCATAGGACAGGATTAGTAAGAGAAGCAATACTGTACTACATTGTTCTGCTCTCAGAAACTGTTTTCCCCATAGGACAGGATTAGTAAGAGAAGCAATGGCTTACATTTGTACTTGAAAGGTTTTCAAACCTTCAGTAAACTGCTTTTATTTTCAGTTGTGAAAAGCCAGATACGTTTCTGATTTTCTGTAAAATGGAATTATTATGTAAGTGTGTATGGTCTTACTTTTATTTTTAAATAGCTTGCAAGTATTTTGCTATCTTTTATAACAGGATTGTTGTAGCTTTCGGTAGTGATAAAGCAGAGAATGGCTGAAGCTCCCATACCTGTACTGCTGCCAGCTGGATGTCTACACTCTGAAAAATTTTGACAGGCAGAACTTCAACTGCGTGCCAGTCCCTCCTTGCCTCTCCCTTCCCTCTGTGTGTGTGTGTGTGTGTGTGTGTGTCTGTCTGTTGTAACTTTTGGTAGTGATAAAGCAGAGAATGCCTGAAGCTCCCTTACCTGTACTGCTGCCAGCTGGATGTCTACACTCTGAAAAAAATTGACAGGCAGAACTTCAACTGCATGCCAATCCCTCCTTGCCTCCCCCTTCCCTCTCTCTCTCTCTCTCTCTCTCTCTCTGTGTGTGTGTGTGTGTGTTGCCACAAGATCTTGCTCCCCCATGTGGTCTCTTCACTCCTACAGATTCAGATTGAAGTGGTATGTAACATCCACATCATTTCTGTGGCTTAAGAATCACCTTGTCGTTCAGAGTGAGATGTAGTCTTGATACAGTCTCTAAGCTCAGACAGATGTGCAGCACAGAGGATGCTGTGACTTGTTGGTTTTACACAAAGGGAGATTGACACCTCAGGCCTAAACAAACTTGGCAGCAATTTCTGCTAAAATCAATACAATGAGATCTTTGCTTGTTGGACGTACATCATGTCCAGTACTGAAAACAGAGAGTGGGTAACAGTGAGCACATTCCGTTAACCAAAATCTCATTACTGGTTATATGTGCAGTCAATAACAACTTGACTCAAGCTGGAATGGGCAATAAGGAAGGAGTATAAACACTGGCAATCTAGTATCATGTGACTCCAGTTGTTGCACGCATTAGAAAGAGGGAGTGTTTTACACCTGCTAAACCTGTATTTAATACTAAAGTCCATAGTCTTTTGTTCGATTCATTGAGCAGTTCTGCTGATTAAATATCTCCCCATTTCACTTCCAAAAGTGAAATTAAAACAAAAAGCAGAGATTTTGTAAATTGCCTTAAAGATTTTTGCTTTGCTTGGAAATAAATTAAAATAAACATTGCTTGCGGATTTAACAAATTTTAGTATTAATCTGAAACACCTAAACGCAGAAAGATTTGCAGCTTAATTTCTTCTGCTGTTTTTACTTGGGTCAATGAACTGTTGTTTGCCAAATCTTGAAGAAAAAAAGACCTAGGAACATGTTTGTTTTAAAACCTTCTGTTATCTCATTTATCTCTTCCTTTCTCTCTCCCTTCCACAAATGCGAACATACACGAAAGTGAAACCTGTGGTGTGTTTAGCTGATATTTTTAAACTCCAAATTTCCCCTTCCTGTTTATAGGAAGGGGACAGATTTTCTGCTCACTGGCAGAGAAAACATATCAGAGGGCTGACCTGGAATACTGAAGTGCTAGGTTGAAAGATGGAAAAGGTTCACAAAGTACTAGATTTTTTCCTTAGCCACCAGAAGGCCTTGGGTTATGGGGCAATATCTCTGCTGACCATTGGCAGTGAGCGCATCTTCTCTGTTGCAGTGTTCAAATGCCCATGTAACTCCTGGAACATGCTTTATGGTGCCGTCTTCCTGCTGGTACCAGCCTTTATTCTATTTCTGCTTGGCATGCTGCTCAAAACCCGGTCTTGGAAGGTACTCACTGGATGCTGTGCCACCAGCAGGATGGGTCGGTGCCCTCACAGCAGTCGCTTCTGCCGCTACTTGCAAGTGCTGTGGCTGGAGGCAGCCAGTGCTGCTGTGGCTCCCTTCACGTGGATTGCTGTGGCCTTACTGGGAGGCAGCTTCTACGAATGTGCTGCCACCGGGAATTCCATTGTCCAGCAGCAGATGTGCAAAGGCAAGACAGAAGAGGGAATAAAAGAATGCTTGGAGATGGTGCCTAAAGTCCCTTGTGACACCTCAGCTTCTCCCTCAGAGATGCAAAATATGCTCACGAGCCTTCGAGCTCAGTCTCAGGTAGGTCTGCTCTCTTTCATGTTGACAGCTTATCAGTTTGGGCAAGAATAAGGTAGCATGTCTTTTTTTACAGGTGATAGTCCCCTATTAGATCTGCATCTGATGTAAAGCCAAAGGTGAGAAATCTTCTTTCACTGCTCATCCACAGTGAAAAGAGACAGGCAAGTCACCTAGCTAAAGTCTTCCCCGCCCTGGTGGGAGATTATTTTTAAAAATCCAATTCCGTATATGTATATGTAAACCTGTTTTCATCTGTGAAACAGCTTTCTTTAAACAGAGCAACTGAAGAAGGTGAAAGCAGGGATGTTTTGCTTAAATATCACCACTCTTATATGTGTATCTACATATATTTTAGTGAATAACTAGATTCCTGAAATGGATCCAGAAAAACTGTGATTGATGTGCTGTTTAGTTTGCATTACCTCTCTCTATAAATTAAGCTATGGAATTTTAGGCAAACTATTGTCCTCTTTAGGGGAGTGTGATGCATGTTGTATTTTTTGGTGTTGTATCAATGGCCTTCCTCCAGTGAGAGAGGAGCCTCCAGCTTAACTGCCTGTTGCTTAAAAGCATCAACAGAAAGCACATCTTCCACAATAGGGTGGCCCCATGAAAAGTGGGACATTTAACAGTATAGGCTTTAGAGCGCCAGATGACAAACTCCATTGGCTGAAATTCATCCCCTTTCTCATGACACACATGCATACACACATTTCCCATATCGTAGTCCTGAGGAAAATCACTCCAGAGAAGCTGTTTTTGCTTTCAGGTGAGTGGAGGAGAGGGATCATCCCTTTGTACTGGTAGGGGATTTCTTTCAATATCAAGCAACACCTTCAGAGGAGCGCCTTTCCTTAGCACTATTGCAGCAGGACAGAAAAGTGTTACATTCCATTTCAGTGCCTGCTCTGAGTAGGAAATATACATGTATATGTGTGACTTAGCAAAACTGGTAATGTTTCATATTAGCTTTCTAAAACCTGGTGCTTTCCTGTGTGTTGGCTTCCCTGGTCAGGATACACACCTGACTAGGGAAGCCAACACACTGTGTTCCACTGTATCTGTGTGTGGCTTTACTGTCTAATCAGTAAAGTTATGGATCAGCCCTATTATAAAGTGAGGGATGGATCTCCAGTGGCTGTCCAAACAGACTGGTCTCCAGTGGAGATTCAGTGTCATGTTCCCATGAAACCGATCACTTCATTCGGAACGTTTGATAGCTTAAGGAACTGTGTAAAAATGCCTTTCTGTACATCTGAGAGTTCTTGACAAAGCATTATTCTGATTTTTCTCATGCTTCTTCCCAAAGGTGATTGGGTGGATTTTGATCGCCATCGTCTTCACACTGGTCCTTGCTGGTACCTGTATTTCCCGCTGCCGTTCTCCAGTTAGTATTCTTCAGCTTGCGTTCTGGAAAATATACATGGAGAAGGAAAGCCAGCTTTTTGAGGTTAAAGCAAAGGAACATGCAGTCAAGCTGGCAGAGAGAAATCTCAAGTGCTTCTTTGATTCCACAGAGCTGGAACCATTTGAGACTCCAAGTTCTAAAGCCTGGCATGGTGTTTCCTCTTTGTTTGCCTTCAATCCTGAACAGCATTACTACAGTATGATACATAAATATGTCACTTGCAAAAGCAAAAGTGGTAGCATCAGATCCACTGAAGGGGATACGTTTCCCATGTCTCTGGGGTTTGTGGATGCAGCTGGAGTTGCATTAACAGAACCAACTCTCTAAGCCCTCTTCCTGTAGACATTTTCAGTCCTCTGTGTTTTTCCCTGATTTGGGGGAATACCCAAGAAGCAACCAGAGGCCATGGTTTTATTCCACAAGGCTCCAGTGAGGGGTTAAAACACCATGTCCCCACTGCCACCATCCCCCTTCTTAACTGAACTCAATGTGTACAGAAATTACTTTCAATGTATTCTTGGAACCTTCTGTGTAGTCTGGTCAAATGGCCAGCACTAGATTCAGAATATAGGTTCTTCTATATTAATCTCCAGACCAAAGGTCCTTAAAAGTGAATTTAAAAGATAAAAAAGCAAATAAAAGCACTAAGACTAGGCCGAATGCCAGGAATAAAAGAAGTTGAAAATCAAGAAAAAGGCTTTGGGACATTAGCAAGAAAGTACACTTGTTAAAGCAATAAACTCTACCCTACCATGAGGGCAAAGCTTTACATTCTCCATTCCTTCTGCACTGATTTGACTCTGAGCCTCCAGGTTCCTATCTTAGAATCAGCCACTTCTAAATTTCCATTCTCTTTTCTCCATGCTCTCTGTGCTCCATTCTCCATTGTCTAGTCTCACTTCGTTCTAGTTTCTTACAAAGCTTACCCGTCTTTTACCTTTAGTTTCAAATTTGCTTTTTGTTGCTTTCACTTGTAAAACGTCCAGGCATGGGATCTAGGGATGGGTCCGCTTTGATCTGACCTTTAATCTCTTGATGTCCCATTCAACTCTAAATAACTTCCTCCCCATTGGGATCTCCCACTTGATTGCACATACCAGGGTTTCCTCTCCTTTGCATTTGAGAGTATTTGCATATACTCTGTTGCCAACTTGATTTCTTTGAAATGCTTGCTCTTTGAACTTTTGTCTTTCCATGAGAATCAACATTTAGCCAAGCCAAACCTTGATTCAAAAACTGAAAAACTAAATCATTAAATCCATGCACATTACTCAGTTTCTCTACAGATGTCGAGACACAAATCTTATAATTCGCGATGTATGGAGCCTAGGCACAAGCCAAGCCTGAAAGCAAAGCCATTGTACTAAAACATTCTTGACAGGTGAAAACCTGAATAGTCCTATTGCTCCCTCACCAATGATTACAAAATTCTGGTTTTATAGTAATCTGGTGTCTTCAACTCTTAATATCACATCCTCTTCAAGTTACCGGTATTTGCAGTTATGGAACACAGGTGCTCTGCTTGTTGCAACGAACCAGAAAACCAGTGGTTTGTGATGGTTTGTGATTTGGCTAACCATGAACTCTCAGAAAAATGAACTGATTCATAGTTCATTTTTCCAGTTCATGCTGGGCAGGGTTACCTGCTATTGCTGCCTCCTGTTCCCCCGCCCTGGGTGCATACTCAGAGGCAGTGGCGGACTTCTTTCAGGGAAGCTGGATGCTGCCTCTGAGGAAGCACCTGCCTATCAGCTGTGTGGTGGCTGCATGATCAGAACCAGCAACTGGCTTCCTCTAGTTGGCTATAGTCTTATTCTTTCTTTCTTAAACACCATATCAGTTTTTGCTAGAGCACTTTCAAACTTTGTTAGAAGAGCGACTTAGATTTTTTCATTTAGTTCATGAAATCTCATGTACACATTCCTATAGCACTATAGGCTTTAATAGGTAACCTTTTCTGGATATTCAATATATAACAGTATAACACATTTATATGTGCTTGCATATGACTATCCAATAAAAAGAAGAAAAGTGGAGACTTTCTTGGACATTCGGTTTATTTGTTTTGCATGGAGGAAATAAGTTAAAAGGATATTCAGAAGAAAGGGAAGTTATAAGTGCCAGCTGTGATGAACGTAGACTTCAGATTTTTCCCTGGAGGTCTAGAAAGCTCAATAGGACTTTTAGAGAGAAGTTCAGGTATCAGCTTCTCTGACCTGACAACCACCTGCCTTTTTCACCTCTTCTCGGGAGCGTCCCTAGACCGATTGCCAGGATGGACATCCGTACCTCACAATTTCCTGCCGTATCATTGATCATAAAGAAACAAGTTAGCATCTCATCCTGTTATGAAGCTGATTATCATTATAATAAAGTCACAGAAAATTTGGCTCTGCATTGATTTTTGTAATTTCTGTACACTATCAATCTAGGGACAGATCAGGCAAGATGGAGAAGAAATACAACAGGGAACCCTAACGACTTGATTGTATCTCTACCCAGGCTCACTATCTCTTGTGAAGCTCTTAGCTCTTGCACATTTTCCTGCTTTCCGTGCTTTCATACTTGAAGGCACTTCCAAACAAAATCTGTCTGCATTTCAGAGCAGAGCATTTAGACTATATAATCCACGCCACGGGTGTGTGTGTGTGTGTGTTAGCGGCGGCTAAAAAATGAGATAAGGTGTAAATATTGCTAAGTGTTCCTGAGCATATTATATTTGTATTGCTGAGATATATGTCCTTAGATGCTAAACTGGAATGGCTCAACTTTTATTTCAAAGTTAAAAAAAGGAAGGCTTGCGGCAGGGGTGGCTCATAGAGCAGGACAGGGGTATCTCACCCCAGAATATCAGAGGGGTGTGATCACCTCCACACCCCAGTTCCAGCTGCCCCCATTTGCTGATGAATTAGGAGGTCATTGCCCCAAAATTATACAGTTTCTCGGAAGTGCAGCTAGCAAAGAAAAAACTGTAAGGCACTGCAGACAGATGACGTCTGTCCAGAAGCAGTTCAACTCCAGCAACAGAGGTCAACTGCTGGACTTTTTAACAACAAAGCAGATTTGCCCGAGAAACATTTCTACATTCAACTGGGGGCAGGGTGGGTGGGGATGTCAAACTGTGGGATTTTTTTTGGTTCACCAGACTGCTGAACTTCCAAGCCCCGCAGAAAGGATTCATGATGAAGGCAAATAAAATAGATGAAGGAGAGATAAGGGTAGTTGAACCACGAGGAGCAAAGCCAAACAGAGTTCAGGAGCTGGTGGGAGGAAACAGATAATGAAACAGCACAGGGCAGAGAGAGAAGAGAAAAATAATAATAATAATGGATTTCCCTCTTTAGATTCAAACTGGTTTGTATATGTCAATTTATAACATGCTTAAAGGCCAAAGATGACTTAAAGTTATGATACTTTCACTTTTAAATGACGTGCTTTAGAAATGTATTCCCTGCCTTTTACTTTTTTAATGTGCCATTTTAGGCCATAAGCACCTGTATTTTAGAATACACACTTCTGCTATTTTGAAACATTCTCGTTGTTCTGTTTTACTCTTAAAATATATTTCTATTGTATTTTTATAAAACCCTAAATGGCTTCTGTATGAGCTAAATCAAAAACTGTATCTACAAGGTTGCTTGGATATTAAGATCATCAGTGGAGGCCTCTCTATTGGTCCCAACACCCTCACAGGTGCCCTTGGTGGAGATACAGGAGAGGACCTTCTCTGTCCCTGCTTCCCTCCCACATGAGGCCAGGATGGCCCCATCTTTGCTGCCCTTCTAAGATCTTTCTCTTCAGGAAGGGTTTTCTTTAGTGACAGAGTGTTTAGGAGAACTTCCTGACAGCAATTCCTGTTTTGCAGTGGAGCTGACTGCCTATGAAAGTGGTAGACTCTCTGATTAAAAGCCACTGGTTATTTTTAAACAGAAGTTGAATGGCCATCTCTCACATATGGTTTAGCCACAGATTTCTTGTGTTGGCAGGGGTCTGAAGCAGATGATACTCGGGGTCTTTTCCAACTCTACTATTTGTGACACAACTAAAGGAAAGGCAAAACATTAGTGGTCCTTCTCCTTGCCATCATTACGAGTTGAATTTTATGGAACCAGTTACCTCAGGAGTTGGTGAGTGCTCCAACACTGGATACATTCGAGAAAAACTTAGATAATCACCTGGCAGAGATGCTTTGATTGTATTCCTGCGCTGCGCAGGGGGTTGGACTTGATGGCCTCGTGGGCCCCTTCCAACTTCACTTTTCTATGATTTCTATGAAATTATTTGACAAATCACCGTCATGAATAAGGAGTACAGCAAAAGTCACTATTCAAAGCAAAATCCTTTTATTTAGCTCTCATTTAACAAAATGCACTGATCAGAAAACTGCCAAACAGATTTCACATTATATTGAAAATTGCTGAAATTTACTTAGAGGCTCAATTCAGATCTCACACTTCTGTTTGAGGATGAAGGATCTTCATATGATTTGTTCACTTCTTTCTCCTCCTGTGCATGGATTCCCTTCTCTCACTTGGTGGATTGTCTTTGTGGATTTACATTCTTGATCATTTTGCCAGTGCTGGGCAAACTATGATTAGCAATGTTTCCAAAACAAAATGCCAAGCAACTGCCAAAGTTGTCCAAATCAGATGTTGCAAGAATGAAAACTGGGAAAGGAACAGACCACAGCACGTGAGAGGAGAAGAGGAGGGGATGGGAAAATAACAGAAGCTCCTGGCAGATTTCCAGCCCTGTCAAAACCAGCGTGGAAGGGACTACAAGGAGAGCATCTGGACTGAGCTCATGTGCCAGGTTGGGTCTATCTCTAAGCACACTCAGTGGCTGAAATCCTGTTGCTTAGAGCTCATCAGCCTCTGTGGCTTTTCAGAAATCAAAACTTTTTAAACCTCTCATCCCAAAGGTCCCTAGGTTCCCTTGGGCTCACTTTCCTGTCAGGGAAGCCATTGGAGACTGCAGTATAGGAAGAGGAGTCTTTAACTCCCCAAAACCACCTCTTCAGGGATGGTTTTACTGATGCCAAGGGTCCAGTGGCCTCCTGGGAGCTCAAGGATCTTTGTGTAGGGGTAGAACCAGAAGGTTTTAATTTCCAAAAATATCATCACAGCTGAGGATGTCATCAGGTTTATGTGGTATACGTTACACTACTGGATTTCTGTCAATGAATGCTTAAATGAAACATTTACCCAAAGTGACCTTTTCTCTGATTAAGTGGAAATATTAGCCTTTTTGGTGGTTTTTTTTAAAAAGAACTCTGCCTGTAAAAGAAAAGGAAGCCACAATCTAAAAATCTATATGCACTCAAGTGGACATACGTGTCTCTTCTGCTTTGAAAATTCCTGTTCATTTCCACATAATTTCATCTGTTCTCAGTTCAGTGTATGAGTTCTACTGCCTGGCAACCATGCTTCTCATAGCCTTTATACAACCTCTTGGTTGAACTGGGCTAGCCCTAATCTTAAACCAGAATGAGGCCATCATCCCAGATGGAAGGGATGGGGCTCCTGCCGCTCAGGAGAGCCACTGCTGCTCTGCGCTATTTACAAAGTGCCTGTTTCTGAGGAGTTTTCAGAATCAGGCATTGTAGGCAAGTGTTCCAGAATAATCATTTGTGCTTTGACATGGAAGATGCTGCCGCCATCGGGTACAGTGTTTCCAGTATGATGGATCCCTAGTCCCAACTGTTGCAATGGGTGTGTGTGCGCGCTTTTCTTCCCACCTCAGACCTCGGGAAAGCCTGAGCTTCCCCTGTGGTGGAAGCAAAGGAAACAGAGATCCATCTCATAACTGAAACATGCAGGGATATTGTTGAGGAGCAGGGATGCCTGTAAACACCTGGGTCTCGGCTCTTGCTGATCCGCTGGGAAGTATCGTTTATAATGATCTTGGCTCGTAGAAACAAATTTGCTCCCCATAACAAACCTTTATGGCATGCACAGCCTGATCCCAAAAGCGATCCACCCACAGTCTATCCTTTGTGGATTGGCCTTTTCTTGATTGAGGAGATTCTCTTTCCAAGAAGGTACAAGGGGTCAAAAGATTAACTATCCATAGGCAGTGGCTTCACCTGCTGGTTTCCTTTATTTCTTTTTGTGCTTCTTGGCTTCAGTCTTCTTTAAGAACATGATTCCAATCTCTGTCACATCGTCCCCTTGCAAAATGTCTTGAAGGAAAATGACTTCAGCAGCTAGATGTACCTGAAAAAGAATAAGTTCAGCTATTTGAGTGAATTCCTTCTTGGACGCACATCTTAGTGTAGTGGAGGGATTTGAGTGTGTCAGTGAAGCTGAGAGCAATGCCCTCAAGCGGCCAGACTCCATTACTAGCCTAGACCCCTTGCAGGGGTCACCCATAGTGGAATAGTCACCGCAGAGGCCCCCTCTCCAAGGGTAATAGCAGCATAAGCAGAAGAGAATGGATAGTTCCAGTCGTGATGTCGGCGGCGGCTACTGGGCAGCAACAGGAGCTGAAGGTGACACTTGGCTACTGGGCAGCAACAGGAGCTGACACTGGCAGAAGAGGTAGTGGCAGTGACACTCAATTTTATTAGCACTGCGCAGAAGGTGGCAATGGCAAAAACACCACAGATTGGAAACAACAAAGATAACAAGAAAGTGATACAATAAAATATTGTTTGTGTATTTAAACATTTAATTAGATCAATTTAATTCAGGGAAGATAAGACAATATACGACTACCAGATAGGGTGGCTCTGTTTCTCCTCCCGTATCAATATGGTTTTTCTGCTTTTGTTTGGTTGGTTGCTTAAAATATTTTTATCCCACCGTTTTCCTTAAAAGGAACCCAAAGTGGCTTTTGCAGACAGTATGAGCTGCTGAAGAACATGCGACAGGGGGTGCTGTTGCAGCCATGTTCTGCCTGGGACCTCCCACCATGGTAACAGCCATGGTAACAGCATGCTGAGTTGGGTAAGTTTTTGCTCTGATCCAGCAGGGCTCTTAGGTTCTTAAGCTGAAGAAGGTCAGTCCCAACGGGCAATTTTGCTAGTTTCACCATGGGGCATGGATATGCCCCCCCACACACAAGAAAAAGGAATATGGTGTTTCCCCAGGAAGGAAGAAGGAAATTTATGCTTCCAAAAAAGGAAAGCAAAATGAGAGACGGGAGGTGTTGCCATTTATTTTTGTTAGCTTTTAATCTCTTTTACTAATGTTTTATCTAACATGTTTAATATGATGATATTCTTTTAAAATATCCAAATAACTTATTGTTTCTAGCTTTCAGTACCATTTCTTTTAATGACATAAACTGCTTTGGGTCCTTTTTAAGGAGAAAGGTGGGGTAAATATATATATTTCTAACACTCATTTGTAGGTTCACCTCTAGGTTTCTTTATTTAGACTTTGTCACATTGAGTCAAGGTCCCATGTTTCCAGCCCTAGTTACAGCTAGAATCAGAAAAAAATGTGATTTGTTTTGATTTGTGATTCATCAAGGTTGACAAATCTCTCTGTCTCTCTGTCTCTGTCTCTCTGTCTCTCTCTCTCTCACACACACACAATTAATTTATGATTTCTTTTTCTGACCGATCGATTTGTCAATTCATTTTTGTCTTTAAAACCCCATAAAACACCCCCCCACGCACCTAGAGACGCCAAAATTGCAGAGATGCTTCCCGTGACTCTCCTCCACAAGCTCTCCAAGTTTGCTGAAGATTAGTTTTTCGACACCCAAGTTATATACCCACAAAGTGGATTCCCCCAGGGAACTTTTTAGTGATTTTTAGCGATAACCTTAACAGCTGACTTGGAGAAGCCAATCTCCACCAAGCTTGTAGGGTCTGTAGAGGAGAGGTAGGGGAAGCTTCTCTGTCATTTTGGTATCTCTAGGTGCCTTGGGGGAACTTTCCTGGGTGGTGCTATTTGTGGGTGTATAACTTGGACATCTGAAGGAGTCAAAGGGAAGCTTCTCTGCAGTTTTGGTTTTTCTAGGTGTCTGGGGGCCATTTTATAGCTCAACAAATCAAAAATCGCTAAAATTTTATTGATTCATATTAATTGGTGGGCAGCAATATGGACAAATATGAATAGACTAATTAGTGATTTCTGATGAATTTTGTAATTAATTTTTTTAATTCGTGCTCATATCTAGTTACAATCCAGCCCAATGCTTGTGGTGTTTCAGGGCTATCAAAAAACATGGCAGAGGGCTCAAAACCATAAAGGTCATCCCATTTCTCATGCCCTTCATGACGGGTAATGTCTGGCCATGCCTGATGCCTACACTTCACCATGTGCCAATATTCTATGAAATGTTGCAGTTTTTACTTTGAGAAATTCTTTAGAGATGTTTGCCTCTTATACAATAAAATTGCCTGTCTAGTCTGTATTTTAAGGAGAATGATGTTCACAAAGAACACAACAACCACACACCAACAAGTCTTTCTTGAAAAGACAAGCCAGCATATGCCCTGCAGCTAAGAGGCTTGACAGAGTCTGATGCCCACCATATTGTATAGTGCATATGGTTGATTGTGCATGTCAGAGAAAGCAGGGGAGTAGGAAGAAGCAGAGGAAGAGTCAGAATACAGTTCCTTACCATCTCCAGAGCCCCTCTAATGGCACCACATAGGAGATTGCAATAGCAAAGTGAAGATCGCCCTGCTGGTAGCTCTTCCACGAAATCCACTAAGGGATTCTTGTCCAGAATGAGGGAGAACTCATTTCCCCCTCGGTTACTGCAGGTCACAGTTGGGGTAACATTCAGATACATCTTAAAAGCAACCTAGAAATGGAGTTGGGAGGGGGAAGCATGCTGTATCATCACCAGTAGAAACAGAAGATTACACTAAATACACAACATTGCAACTAAATCTGGAATTTGAAAGAGGTCCTTGTGTGTGTTAGGGATATTGATGACCACCTACGAGCACTTTCCCAGTATTGCTTCATTGAAACAGGCACAGGTGTGGCTTTCACAGAACACAGTGACCAAGGCAAACCCTATATTCTGCAGAATGAGGCGGTTGCTTCAGCTAGGAAACAATGCTGCAGACAGAGAGACAGTGATAGCTTCTTGGCTCTTCCTGCTGTCCTTCTCCAACCTAAGTTACAAAAACTAACCTCTCTCTGACCTACAGCCACCAGACTGCTTCCCTCAGATGCAATGTTGTGACAACTGAGCAGAGCAAAAATTCAGTCGCCAGTTTGGTCAAACTTGCAATATGGGATGGGTTCTGAAAGAGTTCAATTGTGTTCACTTTCATTTCAGAAATTAAAATATCTTGGTCTGACAGTGATCTGAAAAATGCACATTCAGCTACAATATAATTTCCTTGAGGGTCATGGTCCCTCATGAAAAATACACTTTTGTTTATTTCACTGCAGGCAGTGCCCCCACAACCCTTATGCCCCTCTAATTCTTACAAAACTGGACTGGAGAGAGCCAGTGTGGTTAAGATGGATAGCATGGCAGACTAGGATTCAGAAAATAAAGGTAAAGGTTCCCTTGACATCTTTAGTCCAGTCATGTCCAACTCTAGGGGGCTTTGCTCATCCTGTTTTTCAAGCCGTAGAGCCAGCATTTGTCCGTAGACAGTTTCCGTTGTCACATGGCCAGCATGACTAGGGAACACGTTTTAACCTTACCACCGAGGTGGTACCTACAGTATTTATTTACTCTCATTTGCATGCTTTCGAACTGCTAGGTTGGCGAGGAGCTGGGACAAAGCAACGGGAGCTCACTCTGTCACATGGATTCGATCTTACAACTGCTGGTCTTCTGACCCTGCAGCACAGGCTTCTGCAGTTTAGCTCACAGCGCCACCATGTCAGAAGACCTGGGTTCAAATATCAGCTCTATCATGGAAATTCAGTAACAATGACAAACTTCATCTCATGTGCTTTGGAACTCCTGTTAGGGTCAGAATAAATAAGAAACAACTGGATGGCGCATAACAACAAATGTATAGTGGAAAGGAGGAGAATGTTATTTTCCCCAGTTACTTTACGTGTGGTGAAACAGAAGTTTGCACAGACCTCTCTCACCATATATGATGTAGTACTGTACATGCTTTTGCTGTCATGAAATCAGTGTTTATGCAAGGATAGTATCACTTGAGATTAGGCCTGTGCTTTTTAAAAAAGATGAAATTGCTTTAGATTATTCTTTATTGCCCGTATGCTTTGCTGTGAACCACTCAGAGTGCTTCGTATTATGGGGCAGTATATTAGTTGAAATAACAAAATATGGATTTTTCAAGCTGCAGTAGCTAAAATGGGGTGGTTGGGGGCCAAAAACATGGCAAAATTACTCCCATGTCCTTGAAAGGGCATCTATCTATCCATCTACCCATCTGTCTGTCTGTCTGTCTACATTATGTTACAAAAATGGGGGTGGGGAGAGGAGGGCTATATGTGGAGCCTCCTAGGCAACACACTGTCCATTCCAGCTTTTTAATATAACAACCTCCATAGACACTCTTAACATGATAAATCCCAGTGGTTTCTAAGCCACTTTAGACTGGGAAAGACCTTCATCATCAGTTATACAGAGTCACAGAAGATTAGCAATGTCATTATCCAAATATTGTAGGATTTAACTACTTTACTCCTGCCATATGGCAAATACATTCTATGCAAATATTTGAACAAAGCTGTTTGGATTATTCCTTGTGCTTTGTTTTTTCCCTAAAGTCCTTGCTGCGGGATTCTTTTAATCATCTGGTATTAATATCACAGGCTAACAAAGATGTTATTTGTTTCATATGGGATCATGTTTTGTCTGTTGTATTTGGTTTTATTTTGTTTCTAGAGGCCTTGGATTCAAATGAAACAGCTGCCGTGCAGTGAGCAGTGGGTATCTCTTTCAAAATTCATGGGTTCACCAATTTCTAAGGGACTGGAAAAAATGTGAAAGTGCATGCACAAGTCAAGTCCGGGAATATCCAGCTTTCATCTTTACACACTTAAAGCTTTCATTCAGCAATAAAAGACTTCTTGTTCTTAGGGATTTTCTGAACCAAACAAAAAAAGACAAAGCAAAAAAACAGAACCTAGTGTTTGTGTTTTGATTCCTCTCTCCAGAATGAATGCTTGGTAAGGGTGATGGGCTCTTAGCCTGCTCAGTACTAGCAACCCTTTATTACCTGCCACCAATCAGCAGCTGCCCATGGGCAGAGGGAGGAGCTTGGATTCTTCCCCTATTCCCCTAGTATGTAGCTTTTTTAATCCTAAAGACAGTAACCTGCAGTCTTGGAAAACCACTAGGAAAAAGAAATATGGCTGGAGATAGATACCAGGGTGAGACAACAGCAGCTAGTCCTCACTGCAAGGGTAGAAAGCCCAGCACAGGTGAGGACAACTAGGAGCAAAACTGAGTATTTTATCAGACAGCAGGGGGCAGGCAAGCCACCATTCAGACATACGTTCAGAAGAAGGACACATAGGTGGGGCCCTGACCTCTTTGCTTGCGATAAGGAGGCAGGCAAGAGTTGGGGTGGCCTAAGCGTATTTGCTATTAGTTGTGCCATCCAAAGCAATTGCAATCAATTTAGTTGAGCCACCTGACTGGCCCTTCTGACCTCACCTAGATTTCAGAATTGTTTGAAATCCATCACCGTCAACGCCAAATAAACGTGTGTCTGGAGTGTACACATGTAGGCTTAAGAGAACAGGACTGGATGTCGGCCTGGCAGGAGCAGTGTCTGCATCTTCTCATACCTGTGCAATGACATCCACAGTTTCAGAATAACTCCGGCACTTCTTTACCGCAGAGTGAGCCAAAAAGTCTTCAACCAACCTGATGCCGATGTTGTATCCCCTGGCAGAAAGACGTAACAGATGTCAGCTGCAGCTATTCATATTTTCCACGCTAACCCTTTACTTCTCTGCTTTTCATTGAAAGATCCAAGGCAGAACAAATGTTTATTGATTTTGTGGGCTAAGGAAGAAAAAAGGTGTATTGCAATGCCCAGTTCCTAAATACTGTAATTTGCAGTATATTTTGAGATAACCACATGACTCGCCCCAGTCATTTTGATGCCTGTGGAACAATCCCTCAACACTTAGAATCATGGAATAATTGAGTTGGAAATGGCCCATAAAACCACTGAATATAATCCCCTGCTCAATACAGAAATCCAGGATCCTTCGCAAACCCTACTTCATGTGATAAGCTTTTGAAATAAAGTGTCATATAACGGCCACTTGCACTGGATTGTGGGCAATTTCAAAGTGAAGACCTCGTCCTCTGACATGGACTCTCCATGAATACATCCACAGTCAAATGAAATATATAAGTAATTTAAATGTAATTAAAATATTTAAAACGTAACACTTTTTGAGGGGCATGGAAAGCCTCAGAGATGGCACTGGCTTTCAAAACATGCCAAAATTGACCTTATGCCTCCTAGACTTAAAAAAAAATTAACATTCTTTTTTTTGAGTTGGTAGGTTGGGAAGCCCAAAGAATGTCGAGGGGAGGCACAAAATATCCCATGGAATCCCCAGGCCAAATGTTGTCAACTTTACCTAAGTATTCTCTCTCTCTCTCTCTCTCTCTCTCTCTCTCTCACACACACACACACACACACACACAGAGAGAGAGAGAGAGAGAGAAGGAAAATTAATGAAACAATATAACACATTTGACAGACTGGATGATTTTGAATGGATCTCGGAAACAGTTCCATTAGCTATGCTCTCTCTGAATATATTTTGTTCATTCCAGTCAAGCCCACACCGGGCTTGACTGGAAAAGCAGTTCCAGATAATGGAAAAGCATTAAGCAAGAGAGATCAGATCACACATGGTGAAGCCGAAATAGAGTAGCTAGCATAATAATATAATTCAAGGCTTTCCTGAAAATTACATTTCAAAGCAATATTTGTGCAATCCCTCAAGTCCTTAAAAGTTTGTTCCTTCATAGTAATATTAAAACAAATTTCAACACGAGAAGCACTAGAAAAAATAAATAAATAATAATGTTCAGATACGTACATCTTTAAAATGTACCCCCACAACACTCACAAAGAAAAATACCTATGAATGTTTTTCAATTTGAGTAGCTTAGGAATTATGCCTCTTTCTATACAGTGACCGAAAATGTTTTTTAAAAAATAGCAGGCCACTAGAGACGTACACAGCAAAAACTTTCATTTTGGGTTCTTTTGCAAGAGTGCTTCATTCATTTTCATGTCTAACCCACCTCTTTTGGGTTACTTCATTTAATTTTCCATTTTCTTTCATACACTCTCCCCAAACACCTAAAAAAAATCCTTTAAAACTATTCCCCCTAAAACAGGGGGGAAACAAGCAAAAGAGAATAAATCTAAAAGCCCAAAGAACTTTTTAAAAATTACTCCCCTCCAAAGAAGAAGAGGGGAGTAAGAAACAGACAATCAATTAACTCCCAAAACAGACAATCAATTAACTCCCAAAACAGGCAACAGTACGAGAGAGAGAAACCATCAAAAAAAACATGCCTCCAACTAAACATACTCCTTTAACAGAATAATTACACAATAATCAAGAGAATAACATTTTTTAAAAAATAATCAGTCTAACAGGGAAACATATATGGGGGGGGGAAATAGTGAAGTAAAAACGCACGCTCAGTCCCCATCCCAAAAAAACAAGACAAGCAAGCAAGGAAAGACAACCAAAGCTCCCTCAAACCAATAAAACTTGAATTTGGGGAGATTTCTCTCTTATCTACCATTGATGTCTTCTTCTCTTCTGAGACCAGCAGCAGACGGACAGGCATATGCAGCACAATACAAAATGGAAACCTCCAGGGGTGGGGACTCGTGAGTTGTGACTCGTTAATTTAAGTCTCACTGGTGACTTGACTTGGACTCAACCTGGGTATTTTGGGGGGAAGACTCGGACTTGACTTGTGACTCGGGCCCATTTTTCTGAGTCATGTTTTCAAGTCCCTCTTAGGTAAGGGCCTCCCTACCTGCTCCTTCTCCTGCCGCCATCCTCAGAGGCAGCAGGCCTGGCTTCCCTTCCAGGCGCCAGCTGTTGCTTCCACCCCTGCGCCTGCTGCCCAGCTGATAGGCCAGCACATGTACAGAAGAAGGGGCTGGCTTCCAGGAAGGAACACAAAATGTTCAATGAAAGAAATCCTTTATGTTCTAAGGTGTGGGGTGCTTTTGTTTGGGCGGGGAAATTGATAACAGAACATGAAAATGAATAAAGAGCCTCTTTCATTGTTTTTTCATTCATATATACATGAATGCCCCATCTCTACTAAGCACACAAGGTAAATTGTTACAGTCACTTCTGCTAAGGTAGTACAATCAGTTTCAACCTGCTTTAAGAATACTGTAAGTGTACTCAGAATGGGAATGGTCTCAATAATTGTTAGAAAGCTTCAGCTGGGGAGGAACACAGTGACCCTCCCTGTGGCTACTATTCAACATGCTTATTACTTTACTGGAGCAATTCAAAGTGGATCCAAGATGCATGTGAAATCAGAAGCCGCAACAATGTTCAACAGGACTTACTCTGAAGCACAGGAAGTGGGGTGCTTCATGAAAGAGCTTCTTTCAAAATAACTAGTTTAGCTCCATGAATTTTCAATTGATTGATGGCTGGTCATCAGCTCTAGATGCAAATATACTTGCAACTTCCTACTTACATGGTATCCAAATATTTGTTCACGTCTTCATCACTTTTGTAGTCCTTGCACAACTGGGCCACCAAGGCACCGTAGGTGAGGACAAAAAGTTCTCGGCTCTGCCAGTAGTAGGAAACAACAGGTGAAGGACATAGCTTAGAAACATACCCAATCAGAAGCAAACCTTGAAAAAGTTATCCCAGAAACCTTTGACCAGCATGGCCTTCTGACTGTGGTTTTCTGGGAACTGCAGTGCTAAGGATAATAACAATTACTACTACTATTTAAAATTTTTCCATCTTCTGCTTCAGAAGAAAAAGCTTTCTCTATCTCACCTCCCCCCCAGGTCTCAGACAGAAATCTGTTGAAAAGGCAACAAACTCAGAATATTGTACATAAATTACACATACTTGTTCTTTTTGTTCAGTAACAATATCACATTGGCCAAGCCCAGCATTAACTGCCCAAATACCCCAGTACTCCAGGAAAAAATATATATATATTGAAAAGGAAAGGTAAAGGTTCCCCTTGACATTTAGTCCAGTTGTGTCCGACTCTAGAGTGCGGTGCTCCTCCCCGTCTCTAAGCCGTAGAGCCAGCGTTTGTCCATAGACAGGTTCCATGGTCACGTGGCCAGCGCGACTAGACATGGAACGTCGTTACCTTCCCACCAAGGTGGTACCTATTTATCTACTCACATTTTTACATGCTTTTGAATTGCTAGGTTAGCAGGAGCTGGGACAAGCAATGGGAGCTCACTCTGTCACATGGATTCAATCTTACGACTGCTGGTCTTCTGACCTTGCAGCACAGAGGCTTCTGCAGTTTAACCCGCAGCGCCACCACATCCCATATTGAAAAGGTAGATGCAATATATTCTGCATACCATGTGATGTGCTAATGCAGAGGATGAAATGGTGGCCACATGCCAATCCTACAACATGAAAAAGATATAAAAGTGGAAAGAAAGACAGTATGGTCATACATCTCTTTATTTCACTCTGCTAGAAGGATGTAGGGGAAGAAGCCAAATGTGATGGAATGAAATGCAAAAGCAGTTTCATAATGGAAACAAAATAATTCATACAACCTTTAGTTGAGTCAGCAGTCACTGGAGAGGCGATTTTTATAATGAGTACATACAGAGTTTCTTTTGAAAATTCATTGTCACCCTGCCTTTCTCTCCTTTCTCCAACCGAGTGAATAACCACGTTCAAAACTCAGCCAGCTTTAAAAGAGGCAGGTCAAAATGGCTTCTTCTTCCTATGGTGTGTGTCACAGTCCTAAAGGGTGTCTCAGAGTATTAAAAATAATCCAAAAGCCTTCGCGAATACAAATCCAGAAGTTCCCACTCACCCATAACAAAACCATTGCTAAAACTAAGATCAGTGGCATGTGAACTGCCCCTCTGCATCTAGCCTATGTTAAGATCCTTGGGGCTCACTTCCAAGTTAAGATTCAAGCCTGAAAACCTGTTTTTAAAAAGAATTTATTGTTTCATTCTTTGACATTTACAAACTAAGTCATTACTATTATTTTGGGCAATTTGCTTTGACCATTGCTTTGCCCCTTTTCACCACAAGCCCAGAAGGTAATGGATTATGGGAAACACCATTATTTGTGACTTGTTACCTCCACCCTTGGAGAACCAGTCAAACATCCTGCATGTGGGCCAGTGATGGGTATGGGAGTTGCATGGGATCTTGTGTATGATAGACAAGGTAAACGTAAAAGTTCCCCTTGACAATTTTTGTCCAGTCGTCTTCGACTCTAGGGGGCGGTGCTCATCCCCGTTTCCAAGCCATAGAGCCAGCGTTTTGTTCGAAGACAATCTTCCGTGGTCACATGGCCAGTGCGACTTAGACACAGAACGCTGTTACCTTCCCACCGAGGTGGTCCCTATTTATCTACTTGCATTTGCATGCTTTCGAACCGCTAGGTTGGCGGGAGCTGGGACAAGCAATGGGCGCTCATTCCGTTGCGTGGATTCGATCTTACAACTGCTGGTCTTCTGACCCTGCAGCACAGGCTTCTGCGGTTTAGCCCTCAGCGCCACCACGTCCCCTGTATGATAGACAAGCATGGTTCAAACTTTCCATCTTAGAAGATCCTTTCCCATGCTTGTTGGCCTTTCCAGGGACATCTTAAGAGAGGATGCTAGGTCCTGCTATAGACATCTGTTGCTGCAAATCTAGGCACATGACTCGGTGTGCAACAGAAATTGCCCATGCCAACTTCATAATTTTGTCGATGCTGACTCTTAACTTGCAGCAATTTGCTATGAAGATTTACACCTATCATGTTATATCAGTGTAAAAATGCAATGGGATTTGAGCTGTCTTTCACATCCATCTCTATAATGCTTTATGTTGTCATGTCCCTGTACAGTTACCTTCTTAAACATATTAGCTTAGGATATACTGTGGTCTTGCTTTATAAGCCCTGTGTGATGTCATGCAAGAACTGCTCAACCTGAAATAGGCCAAAATCCTGTTGTGCAGTTACGGTGATGGAAAGGAAATGTAACTTACAACAGCAAATTTCTGATAATTTTGGCAAGCTGCCACTTGGATTCCTAGTCACACACCAAACCAACTAAGAATCCAAACAAGAATGTATTAATTAGTGGCAATTTCCCATTGCAGATTATTCCATTTCCTTTCTGCTACTATAATTAATCAGTTTCAACCATTAATTTTGGTCATTAATCACATACTTGCTTTTGGAGATGATATTGCAGTGAGAGTTCATATATACTATTAGTTTATTTGTCTCATTTAGCTTCAGTGTTAGAGAAAGAAATAGATCCAAGTGAACAGATGTTAATTTCTGGTATAATACTTGCAGAATAGACATAAAGTATGCTGCCATCTAGTGGCAATGAAGGGAAGTTTTGAATTCTTGATCAGAATTTGGAAAATGAGAAGTGACTTGAGAGAAGCCATAGTAATGGCTGGCTATGCTGATTGGGGAATCCTGATAGCTGCAATCCCCCAAAAAGGAACATTTCCAAGTAATTTCAAAAAGTAACTTTTAACAGTAGGATAACAACATTGTCCAGTGAGCAATAAGTAATGAATCAGAAGCATCTGAGGACCATGCAAAGAGGAGTCAGCAGAAAGAATAAATATCATATATAGTCCAGCAAAAAAAATAATAATCCAAAAAAAGGTTGTTGTGGGTTTTTCGGGCTCTTTGGCCATGTTCTGAAGGTTGTTCTTCCTAACATTTCGCCAGTCTCTGTGGCAGGCATCTTCAGAGTGCTGTCCTCTGAAGATGTGAAAGCCTTCGGGAATATATATATTAAAAAAGACTTCCAGTAATTTAATTCAAAAAACGCCTAGCTTAATACATGTTCATGAAGCTGGATCTGTGGTTCTGAGCAGTGAATGTAAACGTTTGCTCAGGCTCACTGAATGTCCTTGGATAAGTACCATTCTTAGGCAAGTCTGACTCACAGGGCTATTATGAGAAGAAAACAAAAGTACTCAGTATCCTTTCACTGTCAGTTTACAAACATCCCCCCAGGGATTTAGTGAAAATTTACAACTTCCTACTTTGCCTTTCCCTTCTCATATCTTCAATTTTTTTAATGTTTCAATGAATTATTACCCGCTTGAGAGACAGAGACAGAGAGAGAGAGAGAGTTGAAAAACTGGGAGTAATATGATATGTTACAAGGACTTCTGAAACAAGAAGTTAGAAATCTTTACTGCCTTATATGAAGAATAGATATGGCTGACAAAAGGACAGATGGACAGACAGATCCTATATGATAGTGATAAGATGTGCAAAGTCTTCAGACAAGTGCGTAAGTACAGACCAAACCAGGGTTCTTTGTGCAGCCTGTGTGTAGCCCTTTGCAGAACTTTGTGCAGGTCCCTTGCGTTTAATTTAGCATTTTTTTTGGGGGGGGGGGTTAAAAATGGAAAATAAAGAAAACAAACCAAGGGGGGGGGGTTAAAAATGGAAAATAAGGAAGACATACCAAGCGAGGAAAAGGAATTGAAAGCAATGCACCATAGCAGGAAGACTGAGACACATTAACCACGGAGATATTAGAAGGAGTCTTTGAATGAGCTTAACAGGTGGTAGCATCCACGCTCTACATTCTTTTAAGCTACATTATGAACTAAGGGACTTTGGTTGCCTAGACTTTGCCTTCTTCCTTTCTTTTAAAAGAAAAGCCACATTATGATGGCTTCAGTGTTACGTTCATATGTGCAGATGCATGCCTGCCTCCTTGTAGTTAAATCAGAATAGCATCTTAGGGTGTTAGGGTCTTTCTGTCCACTGTTTTTCTCTTTCTTGTTGGTTACTACCAAAATTCATCATAACTGTCCTTTGCTTCTCTTTTTCTTGCTCTCTCTGGGCTGGAGGTGGTTAAATAATTCTGCCAAAAATAATTCCAATGGTGCTGTGTAATCCCACCCCCAACCCAAGTCATGGTGGCTCGTGTTTGCCCATTTGGAGGAGCGGAGTTTTTCGCAGAGCTGTGGAAACACAGAAATACCAGCCTGGATGTGGACCACTATTTGGTCGGAGCATCTCCAAAGGGCACAAAGCAGGTCAGGCCTTGATCTATGTGCCTTTATTCAAGCACTGGCTGTGTTGCTGGTCAGGGCCCATGCCCATTGATAGGTGAAGGAAAGGGAGAAAGGAAATACTTCCTCTCCCACTTTCCTGAAGGAATGCTGTGCAAGCACCACCACCACCACCACCACATGTCAAATCATTGCCAAACCCATTTAATGGCGGTGTCTCTGTTGGTTTTCTAAAGATTTGATAGTGTGAGAAACCCTCAGAGCATCACTCGCACTCAAACCAGAAATCCTCGCAGGTCGGCCAAGCCAACACTTGCAAACTACAATCCGTATAGTTAAAATGTTCACACTAAGATACACTCAGCATGCATATCCAATACAGCAGCACATTAATTTTAAAATGCCCAAAGGTAGTTTTGAGTCTAGTAGCATTTACATATTCAAATAAGCCTTACTATTTTGGGGTTCTCTGGTCTTCTATTTGGCGGCTGTGACATTTTTCTTCAGCAGGGGGCTGTATATGGTCCCGTTTATATTCTTTCTTCCTTGGGTAGCATTTTCCCTTCCCTGTACTGGCTTTCCTCCTTTTTATCTAGGCAAAACCATTCCTTTCAGACTGCAAATGAACTCTGGGTGTGTTACAGTTTCTGCTTTTGCTGATGCTCCTCCTAGTCTCTGTTTTAAACCTTTTAGGAGAAACACATTTGGCAAGACGTCAAGCCTGCTTTGGAAAACAACCTGACTCAGAGTAGCAAGACATCTATTTAACACAGAGACTGTAAATCATGTATATAATGGCTGATCTCATTCCACAAAGCAGGATAGCAAAACCAGAAATGTCGAATTATGCTGGAAGTATATACATTTGATAGCTGACTGGATAGTTCAGTGAGTTAAGTATCCGGCTGTAGAGCCAGAGAAGAGCCAGCCTGTGTAAGCCTCAGGCAAGCTGCACAGCCCCAGGCACCCCCAGAAAGAAGGAAGGAGCAAGCCACTTTTGAGTACTCTCTATTTTAAAAACCCTAGACAGGGTTGCCATAAGTCAGAACTGACCAGACATCACACAATTATTATATACATTTGATTATATGGCATGGCTGTCTTTAATATACTCATCTGAGAGGCAAACTTGAATCTGCTCAAAAATAATATTTCCTTTTCTAAATTCTTTTTAAAAATTAGGCTATGGTTGTCCTGAGTCGAATGGAAACATACCCAGAGCAACCCCATGCTTTCGTACTCTGAAGTGAATCCCTCCCTCATAAAGAAACAAAAGTATACACTCAGACCTGTCTGTAAAGGATTGTAGACTAAGATTATATTTTACCCTAAGGGAATAGGCTTCCAGCCTGCCTTAGCATGCCACGGACCTGGGGCATCTTTGAGCTTCTAGAGAAGAGACAAAGACAGTATGCAACTCTTTAGATCCTAAATAGAATACCTCTTTTGTTAATGTCTTGTAATCTCCCTTTGAACCCCCAAGGGAGCCCATTGCTGATGTATCCAAAAGGTAGAGTCCCATGTATGTACGAGGGAGCCCAGGGTTGAATCCCAATACACAGCTACACTCCTTTGCATACATGGGACCCTACCTTTCGGTTACATCAACACTGGGCTCCCTTGGGGGTTGAGGCTTTCTTAAAGTACCTGAATGGCTTGGATCAAAGAACTGGAGGAAAACCACCTTCCTTGTCAAGCTGACTGAGCGTTAAGATTAGAGGGGGCTCTTCTGGGTGCTCCTTCTGCAAGAACACTTCTCGTCCACAAAAGGGGAGAACTTTCTTTGTGGTGGCACCCTGCCTTCGGAGTTCCTTCTGGCAGAAAAGCAGACCTGCTGCTGACCTTGTACTGTACTGGCATCGTGGGGTGTTGTGCTATCTCACTGAGACTACCAGTGTATTGCGTAGTAGTATACAACTGTCCCTAAATCAAAGGAATGTTTGTTTTTGCACATACGTCTGTTTGATTTAACACCCACAGCCCAAAAACACAGGAATAATCTTGGTCACCAACATGCTTTTAGTATTTTGTTATTAACGACTATTATTAACGAATATTATTAAAGACTTGTTAATAATGTGTTATTAACGACTATTATTAAAGAAAAGAGGATAAAACATTAAGACAAATGATTGAATGAACTAAACAATAAGGGAAACATGTCCCATGGAAGGGACATGTTTTTGTGTCATGACAATCTAGCCCCACCATATTCCCAAACAAACACAATTACAAAACAACTGCAGAGACCAAGCTACAGACAAAAGCACTTATCCACCATTTCTTCACCTCACCAAAAACTGGGGACACTTCTTGCCCCAACACATTACATTGACTTTGACAAAAAACAAACAAACCCCACAACATCTTGTAGTCTACAGCTTGATTAATGGGGTCTATGCCCAAAATAGATTTTTTTTGGTTATAATTTTTTTAAAAAAACTGTAAATGGCAAGAGCTGACAATGGAAGCACAGCTAACTAGTGCATGTCACAATATCCTAGAAGGACTATATTGTTGGTCAATGTCTGCAACAAATTCAACCTCTGGGGTGTTTAACTATGTTAAATTTTAGGTTTCAATTTCTATTTTTGTTTTTAGGTCCTTCAGTTTTACTGTAATTATGTGGTGTTTTCATTATACTGAATAGCTTGGGGGGGGGAGTTGTATACTGCCCTGAAATTCTCTTTCAGATGATGAATGCTTCTATAGCGCTTCCTAAATAAATAATTTATTCTTTAAAGATATTACAGCAGGTTCAGTACAATACATGTACTTGGGAGCTAAAAGCATTAAACAGCAGGACCAATTCTGAAATAAAATCACGCTATAAAAACATTACCGTTCACTGTGCCCTCACCTTCATCTAACACAGTCTCTTATGATGGACAGTAGATTAGCAATATTACAAGTACTTGCAAAATTTCTCTTTTCAGATGAATCCTGTGCAGGAAGATGCCATTCTGTGCAAGAACTGTAATAATTCTATGCAGTGCAATCTTTCTTTATCACCACCCTCCCCACAATATCTGGATAATCCTGCTGGATTTCCTGTGAGGTATATGAGGAAATAAAAATCACACAGAGAAATCTTGTTGGATATAGCAAAATGTCATTATTTTTCCCAAGTCCAAGAGAGAAAAACTGCAAGATTCACTATTCCTTCCAAAGATACAATTTTATTTTGTTTACTGAGGGTGATATGATCCTTCCCAAAGGGCTTGTCAAGATATCTGCAAGCTGGTAATGCAACCCCACTAAAGAATATTGGCCGTATCAACAGTATTGATGTTCCACTATTCTCTCAACCTTTGTTTTTTTACTAATGCATTTTCCAAGTTAAAAATTAAAGCACAGCAAGGATGTGTTCATTTGAAAGCTAACTGACAGGGTGAAATGATTGTTTTTCTTTGGATAAAATCAGTGGAGTAGGGTCTTACTGCAACTTAAAGAAAAGGAATTAAATAATGTACCAGTGATGTAAGGAACAGAGATTTTAAAATTGCAGAAATAAAGTTCTGGAGAAATCCTATCTGCAAATATTTCAAGACTGATAATGAACATTTTAAAATGTTGTTGTACTTCACTTACAGTCATGGCTAGAAATATTGGCACCCTTCAATTCTGTCAGAAAATGAAACCCTTCTCTCAGAAAATTGTTGCATTTGCAAATGTTTTGGTACTCACATGTTCATTTCTTTGGTTTAGGTTGGAACAACACAACAAACAGAGAAGAAAAGTTGAATCTGATACAATCCCACATAGAAACCCAAAAATGCACTGGCCAAAATTATTGGCACCCTGCCTAAATTGTAAGAAATCATTGCTTTTCTAGCATGTGATGCTCCTTTAATTTATATTTAGACACACCTGTTGCAAGTAAGAGGTGTGGGCAATATAGTAATCACACTTGCAACCAGTTAAGATGGAGAAAAATTGACTCAAATTTGTGTTGTGTGTGACACTGAACATGAAGAAAAGAATGAAATGTAAAGAGTTGTCTGTGGATTTGAAAGAAAAAATTGTGGAAAAACATCAACAATCTCAAGGCAACAAGTCCATCTCCAGAGATCTTAATGTTCCTGTGTCCACTGTGTGCAATATCATCAAGAGGTTTACAGCCCATGGGTCAGAGATGTTTTGGGGTTGCTTTACTGCTTCTGGCACTGGATGCCTTGGCTGTGTGAACGGTATCA